AAAAAATTGTTACACATCTGGCGCAAACTACTCTAACAGTGTATATGACTCTACCGCATAGCTTATAAATCTCCATCAGAACCAATGGGTGCAAAATTCGATGTCCATGATGCCTCCATGATGCCTCTGTACCCTGAAATAAAATTACATAATCAGAGTGGCTGTGTGATTATGTCACGTGATGCGCCAAATCTTGAATGTCAAATTTTCAAAACTGCGTGAAACGCTCCGAAATGCAATAAAAAACACTTAGAAGATAAAAGTACTTTTTGTGTATCTACTCATGTAAATTTAATTTTTTTTCTAAAAAAAAACCTGAGAGATGTAGCTACAGGTTCCCTCTTGCCGACTTAGGAGTCAGAATAATGCTCGGAGTTGAGTTGTAGGTAGAGATGTCAATCGCAGCGGAGGCGGTTTTTGCTTATGTAAGGGGTGCTGGATCCTACTGTCGTCTACCTTACAAAATTTCCATCCTTTTAGGCTGCGTTCGGCGTCATAATATGGCATGAGAATACCATATTATCACCTATATATGGTAGCCCGTATTGTTAAGCAAGTCCCGTGCGTTTGTGACCATCAGTGACACACACGCTCGGCTGTGTGCTTGAGGCGATCACCCCAAATCCAGCACCTTATGTAATTTTCTGTAGTACTTATTGCCGCGACTCTGCTCGTGTGACGGGTCCGGCTTGGTCGTGGCTTGGGCTCCTGTACTTTCCACAGAAGAGAAATAAATTTAATTTTGCCTCAGATGAGTAAAAGAATGCCAAAGTCGCAACCTTTCATACTTTTCAAACACTATCTTGCGTAGTATGCACTGCATGGCAAAAACAATATCATCAGCTTCATTTGAACCAGGGTGACGCCAAGCCGATAGCGTTTTGATACCATTCTTAATTTTAAAGGACTCATTTTGATATATCTCTAAAAAAAAACTAATAATTGTTGCTTATTTAGCGACTCTTTCTTCATATATAAGTTGTTTCATTTTATCCAGCATGAGTCATCTGCCATGGGAGTGGAAATATTGATGTGTGTCATGTGTGACCTTGAGCGGGCGGCATCGCTAGGTCATTAACCGTGCATGCTTATGATTACATAATGAGTGCCGGCTTTATCTTAATCTAATCTTATCTTGTTGCTGCATTTGGATGTCACACTGATGTCATGTGATGAGAATACGCCATCACAATTTGGCATGAGAATACCAAATTGTGACGCCAAACGCAGCCTTAGCCATGAGTCACATATTCTTATCTAACACGCTTTCCCAGACTCACGATCAGATCCCATTCGAAATACTGCACCTGTTATACCCACTGCCCAGGCCCGAGACAC